CAATTAGGACTTTGGAGAGGTATACAGCCTGGATACCACTGCCAGTCCAGGCAGAGGCTGTTGGCCATCCATATCCAAGGCACCACAGAGGCTGTCTGACTTGCCTATATCTGGCCACCTCACTCTCCCCTCTAGGAACCCTTCTATTGTGTCCTACTTTTCTTTCAGGGCACATTAGGACATCAACCTCCTCCAGGAAGTCTTAGTGACTTCTCAGGGCACCCACTTGCCCTTTCCCCCACCCCACAGTACTGACTACCATATCTTATCTGTTCAATTCATGCCCCTGACTCCTGTATGGGAGGTATAAGATGTACCATAGCAACTGCCTGCTGAGTGGGCAGGGCCAAAAGAACCCCCTACAACCAGGTCTACTTTAAATATCCTGATTGTTGCACATGGGAGCCAACAGGGATCCCTCATAGGCCCTGCCTGGCTCTGAGAATGGCCTTCATTGTGTCGTCCCAGGGCCTGTCGAGGCACCAGACCCACCAGGTGGAGAGGTCCTTAGCTGGAGAGCAGCAGAGGGAACACTGCAGCTGTCTGATGATTATCTGTGTATTCTCACCTCTATCAGCTGCCTCCAGAAGTGCTACAAGAACTGTGGGTATCCCCAAAATCTGACTCTGGGGGAGGTTGCAAGCTGGTAGCATGGAGGGACAAGGGGAGAAGGCACTGCAGCTTCTCTAAAGAGCCTTCAAGCAGGGCCAGCCTGGGCCGACTGTGAAGGACACAGCAGTACCACTGACTACAGAACCCTCTGCAGGCAGGCCTGGCTCCATGTCTGTTCTACACTAGCTCACCCAGCAAGCACATTCTTAGTGCCTACAAGTCAGCCCAAGGTGGGAGCCAGGGGAGCAGACAAGAAAACAGGCAATATGACACAGCTGATAGGTCCCTAACAATAACAAGGACAGTGCATTTACTCCAGGACAGAGGTTGAACGCATTCTTTCACTGTGATCATCACTGGTGGTGGAGTGGTGGTGGAATACCTACCTCACAAGTGTAAGACCCTGAGTTCAAGCCCTGGTGCCACAAAAACAAGAACAAGAACAAAACCAACCAACCAACCAAACAAACAAACAAAAAACCCTATTCACTGGTACTACAACTAAGAGTCAGGAAATACAGATAAAATGATCTTAGGAGACACTAGGATTACCTCAATCTTACAGATGGGGAAACTGAATAAAGCTCAGAGCAGGTACTGACTTGCCCTGGGTCACAGAGGTGGGAAGAAGTGGAGGCAGATTTGGGGCTGTGAGATAGTGGAGCTGGGGATTCCTGGGGCAATGCTTAGGTTCACAGAATTCAAGAATGGAAGTTTTAACAGGCTTTTTCTACCCTTTCTTGTCCCAACCCCCAACACACACATGCAGGCACCAACCTGAAGCACAGAGCCTCATAGATGGTAGGCGCTTGAAACACTGGCCCCTTTATACGCAGAACCACTGCAAACATGGGTCAAGTTTATTTTTGGGATATTCTGTTTGCTTGTCCCAAAGAGCCCCCAGTGGCAAATGGATATAGGCCCAATGAGTATATGCCCAACTGACAGTTCCCACATTCCCTCTTCACTAATGCCTGGGGATACAACCAGGGGGGCAAGCAGCCGCTCTACCTTGCCCTGACCAAGATCTAATGGGCCTCTGAGGGACAGTACCTCTTCCTTCCCTATCCAAATGTTCAGGGTGGAACTCTGGGACAAGCTGGCCTTAGCAACATTCCCTCTCCTGCACCTAAAACTACCAGTACAACTGAGCAGCCAGAGTCTGAGCTCAAGTCCTTGGTGCTTGGCTGGCAGAGAGCAAGAGTGTACCTAAGCCATCCCAAGGGGAGCACATGTCCTGCCCTGCCTGCCTCAAGAGTGTGTGAGGCCTCGGGACACAGTAAGAGCAATGTGCAGGTCCTCAGCCCCACGCCTGATACTCAGTAGCCAGAGGAAAGGTCTGCAGAAAGAAGGAATGGAAAGTCACCTGTGGGGTGGCCACTGTCAAGGGATTTCCCTGCAAACACAGCCTGCTCTTGGCTGCAGCAGCAATGGCAGATGTGTCCAGGGTCAGCTATGGGCCTGAACCATGCCCCCGCCCAACTCCTGCCAAGGTGTCACAGGCACTGCCCTGGGAAGGCTGGGCAGAGGAAATGGCATGAAGAGGACCCTTGTGGTTTAGGACATGGCACCTACTGACCCCAACACACCTTGGAGGGAGAGCAGGGACTACCCACAACAGTCCTTTCCTGGTCCTTAGGCCCTAACAAAGAATTTGAGGAGTCTCTTGAGTGGACTGGCTTAAGTTCACTTTTGTGATTTGGTGTCTCATAAAAAATCTTAGCATGAGGCTAACCCTTTGCTTGGGGGGCAGCACTGGGCTAGAATAGGGATAAACCCTCATCTCCAACATTCTGAAGGTGTCCAGAGTGTAGAGGCAGAAGGGACATCAGGGACTTCATTCAGTACAAGACCTTGGTTTCTCCCCCTGGAGCTTTGCCATTCTCCAATTCTAAGTGATAACTGACAGCATGCCAAAATGCAGTGCCACCTGCCTGAGCAGGAACAGAGGAACCTCACAAAAAGTTAGGTTCTCCAGCTTAAAAACCAGCCCAACCCCTGGTTTCTGGTGTGCTCTGTGGGGATGGGCCCTGCCCCTCTACCCTCTGAACTCTTCCCACCCAGGCTTGACCTGTGCCACACTCCTCATCTAGAAGGGGGAAAAAGAGGACAACAAGACAAAGATGGAATCAGAGGCTCTTCCCAGTGCTCAAAAGACCAGATGGAGGGCAGTGCCCCAGGCCTGGGAGTGAGACAACCCTGCAGTCCCTTATCTGGGGCCCTAAGGACTCCCAGGAAGAAAGGCCAGCCAGGTGTCATTGCTAGAAAATAATCCCCATCACTCAATTCCACTCCCCTCACCTTAAGTCTAACTCTAATACTGCCTCTTCCAGGATGCCTTCCAGGGAGCATGCTTCCCCTTCTGGCTGCCTCAACTGACTGTGGGCTCCTGGGAGGGCTGGGAAGGGAGCTACGCAGATCCAGGAGAAGAGGGTGGTAGTACCTCCTGAAAGAACAATGGCTGCTAGGAGAGGGCCACAAAGGCACAATTTTGGAACTAGAGGGGTTCCACCAAGTTGGCAGCCCAAGAAGAACTGGAAGCCCCTCAAGGTCCAGAGTTCTCCCATCCCAGACAGGCAGTGAGGGTACATATGGTACAGCACGTGGACATCAGGTTCTAGACTCAGTCCTTTGGTTGTTTCTGTCTGTGCCGCAGTCTCTCCATCTGTACCATCCACATAACTGGAGTGGAGGCAGCAGCTGTCTCAAGAAGGCACTGCCTGTGCAGACAGGATGTGCTGGTGGCACTGCCCTAACTTAAATCTCTTGACTAGACCTAGGAAGATGGTGCCAGCTTACAGAACTCACACTCCTGCTCAGAACAAACCAATAGTAGTCAGAAGCTCCAGTCCTCCTCCCTATAACTGAAGGTGACTTTCCTGGCAGAACCTGCAACTGCCCTGCCCAGCCTCCACTCAGCTCCCACTGTACTTCTTTCTTGCCCAGGGCGGGTGGGAGGTGAGTGCTAGTGCCAGGAGGGTGTGCCAGCAGCTCCTCCCCAAGGGCTCTCTGCCCTACAGGCTCCACCTGTACCCTTGCCCTGATCTTCCAGGAACCCACACCTGCTCTTCTGACCCAGCAGCCCTCCACCTGCACTATCCAGCTAGGGGTGGGGGTGTTCCTCAGTTCAGGATGATATGAAACCTCCTCACATGGCTGAAATTGGCCAGAAGAGAGGATTCATGGTCATTCTGTGAAGGTGACCAAAGCCATAGCAAACCTCAGCTCAGAAGAGCCTCCAGGCTAGATCTTTCCTCACCACAGGAGTGGAGAAAGGAAACCAAGTGCTCCCAAGAGTCACATGGGAGCCTTATGGAGGGAAAAGGAGATAGCTGCTGCCCCCAGTCAGGGATTCTCAAACCCAACATCTTCTCAGGCCCTAACCCACCCTGGCTCCCCGCCTACCCACAGCCTTCAGCAAATCTCAGCTTCCCAGACCCTCAAACATCGCCCTGGGTTCAGTCTCACTAAACAGCTAGCAGGGGCTGTGGAGGCAGCCCTTCCCCTATCCCCGGTCCCAAATTGGACTTCTTATCTTTGTGGGCAGCCAGGTCAGGAGGTTCCCCAACACCCCAAAGCCTCCATGTCTACTACAGTGCACAACCAGACCTCAGGCTCCTCCCGTGACTCTCTGCGAGTCCAGCGGCGAGGCAGAGGTGCGGTCCTGGACTCCGCTGCTAGGATCCCGCTTCTACAGCGGTTTAGCAAGCGGGCATATAAAGACCCAGGCGCACCGCCCCCGCTCCCGGAATCCAGCCCCAGCGGGCGAGGGTGAATCATTAACACGCTCGGCACTAGTGCTCCGGCCACGCACTAGACAGCGGGGCCCTCAACTCGGAGCCTGGGGGCAATGGACAGCCTTCCACTCCAAACAACAGATGGACAGACACGGCACCACCCGCCTGGGTGCTCACCTTCACGACCTCAAGGGACCCTCCGACCCTTCGAGGAAACTGAGGCTTATAGGCAGGGCACAGAGGCCCAAGGTCACAAAGCAGCCGGCGGCCGACAGGGGTAGAGCAGGCCATCTGCCAGCAACTTTCCCTGATCCAGGAACTTTCCTGCCGGCCAGCGGCCCTACACCCGACGCTTCCGACCCCCACGGGGAAGGCTGTCCCTGGGATCCCCCGTAGACCCTGCCTCCCGGGGCCTGACCAGCACAGGAGGTCCCGGATCCCGGCCCGGGCGCGCCCCTGCGGAGCCTCAGGCGGCCGGCTGTTCCCAGGACCCACAGGTCCGGCAGGAAATGCCACTGGCTTAACCCCTTCCAGCTCGGACGTGGGCAAGCAAGGGCGGCCGCCTTGAAGCCCTCTCAAGAGCCGGGTTGGACACAGGGACCCCGCCCCACCATGAGGAGCCGACCCCCAGGCCACGCCTAACGCACTCACCAGGTAGTTCATGGTGTCCCACCGGCCTGAGGCCTGGATTCCCAGGGTCGCACACCGAGTCACCCGGGCGGCGCGTACTCGGGGCTCCGAGCGTGCCGTAGCTGCCCGGGCCCCGATCCTGGTCAGACTGTCTCAATCGCAGTCACCGCCGCCCAGAGCCAGTCCCACCTCGCTCCGCCAGCCACTGCCGCAGCTGGACTGGCCCAGTTCGGCTCCCGGCATGCCCGGCCTCACACGCCCATTGGCTGTCACGGCTCCCCATGCAAATGAGCCGCTTGCCCAGGGGGCGCGGGCGCGTAGACACACACCCGCCCAGTGGGACAGCCCCTTTCAACTGGCTCAAGGTCTCTGCCGAAGGCCTGGCTTCAAGCCTACTGAACGGAATATCCCTTTTCATCCAAATATACGTCCTTGTCTCCCACAGAGGGCGAGAACGCGCTCTTCTAAGGTCTACGCAAACACTTCCACTTTTGGAAAGACTGGATTGCCTTCTCCACTGCCCTGGGCAGGCTGCAGTCCCCTCCTCCATCACCCCAGACACCAGCCTCAAGTGGATTTTGCCTTCACCATCTATCAATCCCTGACCATTCCACGAGTGTTCACCTGGTCATCTGAATCAGACCTGAATTTAGAGGGAAAGGGAGGGGGCGTGTCCCAGCGTGCAGTAAAAGAATACCCACTGCACAACTGTGGACAGGCCTACTGTGTAAGGACCCCAGGAAATGAAAAAAAAGCAGGAAGGTCGGCCAGCTACAGCATGACCTGTCGCTTTTTACAGGCAGCTCCTCCCCTCCCCCCTGCATTCCTCCAGAACTTTGGGGATTCCAGCTGTTCCCCTGAAGCCCAAGGGAAGCAGAGCTAGGACTCATCCTGTCCTACCCCGAAAAGCGCCTCTGGCCCTAGAATAAGGAACTCAGGAATGAGGGGCTATCTCCCACCCTTTCCACTGGGCGAAGTTGAGGCTTCCTGAAGCAGTCATCATTCTCCTGTTGGGGTCTAAGTTTTGCCCTAGCAGACCTACCCCCATCTCCTCCCATTTCTGAGTCAGCTCTGTCCAAGCCTAAAACCTGTACCCTCCAGGACCTGCTGTTTCAGCAACCTGTATGTGTGTGCTCGAATGAGAGAGAAGAAAAAATCACCCTAGGGACACAGTGGAGAAAGCCCTGGCTTTCCTGAGTTCCTTTCTTGCTAAGTTTGCAGATCCATGACTGTTACCCCATGCAGTGAAATCAAGGTGCCAGAGTCCTTAAGCACACTTCAGGCAGGTACAGAGGTCTGCAGGGAAAACTGGAATGAAACCTGTTCAGACCAGACAGGACCCTCAGCAGTCAATAATCCTGAGGTCCTCGATAAGCACAATCAGCAAACAGGGCCAGGGAAGTAGAGGTACACCTGGCTTCATCCAGCAGAGAACTCTCAGGAATGTCCTATACACAAGTCCAAGGGAGCCCTACATTGTCTCTCCACCTGTCAGGCACTTGCCACCCATGGCTCAGCCCACAGCCCTGGCCAGATGTGCCTCCAGGAGCAAGCTCGCCCCTTCTCTGGGCTTCTTTCTCATCTGCAAAATGCAGGGGCTGGAGTAGTCCTCAAGTCCTCACAAGTTTGCTGCTCACAAGTCCTCTGGAGAGATGGTTAAAACATATTCCTAGATTGCAACCCTTCTGAAAAGCAGGACATCTGGGGCACAAGTGGTAAAGGGTCTGCCTAGCAACTGTGAAGCCCTGAGTTCAAACCCCAGTACAAGGGGTGTGTGTGTGTGTGTGTGTGTGTGTGTGTGTGTGTGTGTGTGTGTGTGTGTGTTGGGGTGGTGCTGGGCATCTGCATTTCCCCCAGGCTCTGGCTTAGAAATCACGGCCAGAACTCACAAAATGCAGGATGGGTAAGGGGCAGTGACCTGGAGTCCTTGAGAAGAATGGGGCAACCAAAACCACTCCCCTCCTCTACTGAACACTGTCATGTTCAACAGAGCCCACTTCCCAACAGAAGAGGAGCCAGCTCTCAAAGCACTACCCAGAACATCCCCTCCTGCGGTCCCCAGGCACTGTGTCCTTGTTGAGACCTTGCCCCCCCCCCACTCCCACCACTCCCAGCCACTCTTCAGCCTGGAGGGGCTGCCATCTAAGGCTCCAGAAAGCAGGTATGAACCCGCTAGACCATGCACAAGAGTCTGTCTGACTGTGCTGGGGGAGGAAGGGAGTCCTCAGCTTGTCCCTGGGTCCCTACTTCTGAGGGGAAGGACAGGGACCCAAAAGGCACTGGCCCCTACTCTTTCCTAGCTGGCCGAAGGAGGCTGCTATAGGAGGCAGCCAGCTGGGAACGGGAGGATGGGAAACCCTCCTGTTTCAGGAGCTGGATTCAAATGGCACTGGGGGTGGGGCTACTGGTGGGAGGGGGAGTAAGTGGGGGAGGGGAACAGGGTTCAGGCTCAGGCATTTCAAAAATTTGCTCCTTTCCCACTTAACCACCCCCTCCAGCCTGTGCCTCCCAGAAAGGCAGTTCCACTTTGGAAACAAGGCCCCAGGATTGACACCCTTCTGTGTTGGGGGGGTGCCCCCCAAGGCTAGTGGGAGGGGCACCCACTAGGTAGGCTCTGGCTAAGGAATAAGGAAGACAGACCCTCACCCACCCCATGCCAGCTTCCCAGGCCCTGCAACTGCCAAGGAGAGGTGACAGGGATGCAGCCCCACACTCCCAGGCACACCCTCTGCCCTGGCCCTGTGCCAGATGTGCTCAGTCTACGTCCACAGCTGTCCTGCACAACAAACTTCAGCCTTGTTCCCAATTTACAGATGATGAGACTGAGATCCTTTACAGGTTGTTGCACCATCCCATGCATTCCTAGGCACAGAGGGATGGAGCTGACAGCTAGGGATGAAAGACAGTGGAGTTGCCACTCTACTCTGTGGCAGGAAGGGAACCTAGGAAGGGGGTTCTTCAGATTGAAGCCTGCCAAAAGGTAGAAACTTCTCAGGCAGCTGAGATCCAAGCTCCCCTCCCCCAGATAATACTCAGTCAGCACTAGGGGCCAGCATACCCTATCCCACTAAAGTTTAGCCCTGCTTGTGAGAAGGAGGTGCAGTGAATGTCCATTGATTGAGTGGAACCTCAGAGGTGACGCTGGTAGGAAGGGCTGACCTGGGCAAGGAAATCTGAGGCTGCTCCAGTTCAGGAACAGAGGTTGTTAAGTGTGCACCTGAGAGCACACACAGGTGCACATGCACCATGGGACTGGCAGAAAGGGGAGAAGCCCCAGTTGAGGAGCTAGAAGAGTATATTGTGGGGGGGTGGGGATAGCCAGGCAGCAGTGCCCCACTTTCCAGGACAGTTGTCAGTCATCCTGGGAGTGGCCTGGCACTTCCGACCAGGCTGAGGATGAGCCTACAGGCTGGGTGGATGTCACCAACCCCTGGGGCCTGGAGTAGTCATTTGTGCAGGGAATGTGGTAGGGCATTAAAAAAGTGTCCCCTCATACTGGACCATAAATGGGAGAAAAGCCTGGGGTAGGGTTTGCGCTCTCTGGGCTTTCTGAGCCTTAGCTTCAGTGAAAACCCAACACACAAAAGAACTATTCTTGCTTGATGCCTAACAATGTCCACTGCAGCATTTACAACAGAAAAAAGGGGAGGGGCATACCATAAATTCCCAACCCTAGGTGGCTAGTGAGAGAAACCAAGCCCCTCAAGGAAGACTGAATAGCTGTAAAGAAAGACACTTTCAAAGACCAAAATAATCCAAGAAAATGCTTACGACGAAATCAGGTGAAAAGAGCAGGTTTAAAATGACTTGACACAGAGCCCCTTCTCCTTCTGAAGTCTTGGCTTTCCTAGTAGCACTGGAGTGGGCTGGACAGTTAGCTGATGGTTGGCTCTGGGAGGGGCAGCAGGAAAGGATTTCCTGAGGCCGGAGGTTAAGTGCTGCAAGTCCCAGGGACAGGAAGGCACGATATCTATGGAGGGTCCAGGGAGTTGTCACCTCCCTCCTGGGCTGTCCACTCCTCGGTGGCAAGTTCAAAACCTGGGTGAGAGTAGAGGGACCCTTGGGGATAGCACAAGCCTGGTTGTTACTACATCAGTCAGTCCTTGATGCTGCCCTAGAGAGCAGGATGGAAATACCACTACCAAGTGTCTCAGAGGACGGCGCCTGAACCAGGTCCCATCATCAGGAAGTGGCAGAGCTCTCATATCCATAACTGCACACACAGCCAACAACCCAGGCATGTCTCTCCTCTGCACCCCAGATGATCCTAGCCAGCAGAGTGTGCACTCTTAGGGCCGGTGGTGGAGCTGCCAGTCAGCCACATTCCCATCACCTTGGCTCTCCAAGCTGAAGTAGTCAATGAGACAGTTATTTGTTATTATAGTGGTGGCTCTGGAGGAAAGTGGGTGGGGCCCTATAGCCTGGAGCCAAATTCCTCCTGGCCAGTCATGCCCTTCAGCATCCCTCAGGCCAACCCCCAAAGAGCTGGATGCCAGGGGAAGTAGAGGGTATTGGGCAAAGTCCCTAGGTGAAGGGACACAGCCCAGGAGCTGCCAGGTACAATCTAACTGCACTGTGGATCTATGTCTGGGTCTCCGTGAATCCAGTGCCCCACAAAGCTCTCCCTTATCCCTTCAGGTATGCTCCAAGAGCAACGACTCTCCCAATTTTCATTGCTTTTCTAATGTAGAGCTCAATGAGCAGTGGTTGCACCTGCAGGAAGCTAGATGCCTGTCTCAGAAAGAGGTCTTCAGGGGCCCAGCTGAAGGGCCAGCAAGGCAGAAAGACGCTGTCCACCCTTCTCTCCCCTCTAGTAGAGGCCTCCCTGGACTGGATGACTGCAGCCTAGGGCGCCTGCCCTCCCTGCTGACTCTGGGATCCTGCTTCTGCATCCTGACCTCCTAAATACTTTGCGGGAGGAGTCAGGCTGGCAGAAGAAAACAGTCAGGGAAGAGAGGGACAAAGGGGAAGGAGGGCTGGGGAGGTTGGGGGATAGGTCCCTGTCCTCAGGGAGAAAGCTCAGCTGCTGGTGGCTGCCCTGCTCCTGACTGACAGGCTGGGTGGGCAGGGATATAGGGTGTGGTCAAGAAGCCTCCCCAGCTGGGCCATCTGCTCTTGCCTCTCCCATGGCAACCAGCCCTAGCAGATCAGACAGAGGGGGGTGACTTCACATACCATCTGCTGCCCATCCCCTGGCCACTTCCACCAAACACAGGTACCCACAACCAGATACCCACAAATGGGCAGAGCAATGTTGCTAGTGTTGTTGGTCGGTGGGTTATGGGGCCAGTAGGTTCACAGGAGGGGAAGTGGGGGCAATGGGAGAAGGGTACAGGAAAGAATGGGTAAGAGAAGTGCCCTCCTTGGACAGTAATGTGACCATCCCACCTGAGCCTGCTCCAGCCTACAGAGCAGGGTTCTGTTTGCTCCAAGAGATCCAGGCCAAAGTGTTGCTCAGGATCAGCCTACATGGACAGGAGCAGACATTACGATTCCACTGTACTTCTCAGAGCCTCAGTTTGCACATCTGTTAAATGTAAT